GTACAATTTGGAAACAGCAGAGAGAGCCTGAGCACTGATAAAAAGAGATGACCCGTGACTGGCTCACTCTGGGCTCCCGCAAGGACACCTTCCTACAGAAATCCCGGTGGTCCAGTGGGAGCAGGCACTTGCAAGAGTCCTTTTTTCTCTCCCAGACCCAAGAGATGGGTGCTGACACCAGCCCCAAATGCTGTGTGTGGGTTACCAAGTCTTAGGGTGATCTGTCACTACGGGTAATGAACCTGCCCCAGCCGTTCAGCCCCACCACCTGCTGATCACACAGGGCCTGGTCTTGTGAAGGGCTCTGCAGAGCACTGCAGGTCATAAAAGTGCATCGCTGTTTAATTACCAGTTACGCTGAGCCCTCACTTGGGGCCAGCAGAGGCGCTTTACACAGCAGTGGGGTGAGCACGGGGTCTGACAAAGTGGCTCTCCTACACTGCTTTCACCTCAGTCCCAATGAAGTCAATGTGATTAGCATCACGAATGTTAACTTGTGGCGGACAAATTCACTCCATTCATTTGCTGATTCACACATAAGCTCCAAGGAAAGACCTATGCAACAGGCACCAATCTTCCCTGCTGCTCTGATATAGCAGTACCAGGGTATTTTTCTTCGGGTCATTTCTAAGAAAATTCAGACTTGCTTTAACGTATCTACTGACATCTCAGGCATCTTACTCTGAAAGCACAGAACTAATTTCTGAATTGAGAATGCAAACTCAGCCGTGACATCACCTTGGGTGTGGGAGCAAAGCCGCACTGAGCAGCAGGCAAGCACGGATACTTCGGGCTCTGCAGCTCCTCCTCGCCTCGGCTGCGGTTTCCAGGAGGCTCTGCCTGCCCTGCCCGCCCCCAGGTCCCACTGATTCACTCACAAGAACATCTTCCCTGCATTTTTGGGGAGCAGGGGACAATCCTGTCACCCAGAAGGGTACAACTGCACAGCTCCCGTGGCTTCTCCTGGGATCAAACCAGCAAGGCAACAGAGGGCAAGGGGAGACTGCTTCGCTTGTTACTTTTAATGAAGACAGCACACTGCTTTTGGGTCATTTTCCAGGCACCAGGTCTGGAAAATGAAAAAGGCCTCTGGTGAATACAGTAACCCAGACATGTTTGCACTGGCTGTTACACTAGACAGTAAACAGGTGACTCAAGCACAGCTTGGCTCCCCTGCACCGTGGAGTCTGCACCAAGGCCTGGAGTAACCTGAACTGGAGGGGTTTGCCCTGAGGCAGTCACTTACAGATGCTAACCCTGATTTTCACAAGCTCCTGAGGGAATCTGGTGCCCCAGCTCTCCTAATAAGCACAACGTGAGCCCTCGGTTACCTTGGAAAACGAGGATGAAAACTCAAACGCAATGTTACAAGAGAGTGGGGGCAAAACCAAGGCGAACCAGGCGGTTCTGTGGAGCAGCTGGCAGCGCACCCGGACAAGCGCACAAACGCTCACGTGCGATCGCAGATTGCTGCTTTCAAAGGAAGGGCCCCCTGGAATTCGCTCGCTCCGATTCCCAGCCCAGCAGTCTGGCTGGCGGGCTGTCAAAAGGCTGGATTACCTTCAGGATCATTTCAGCCCGAGTCATGCCTTTCACCACTATCTTGGTGTAGCTGGCGGGAGCCTTCCTCACCACTTGGGACCCGATGGAGGGCAGATCCAGGAGCACCATCTTCAGAGAGTGAGTGTCCAGCAGCAGCTGCAATAGTGAATCACATCCCGTTACTCAGGTCTCTTTCTCCAAGCTCCATTAGCTGCTATAACCCAACTTCCTTAAAAGTTTACCACCTCCCACATTGGAAAGAAGTCCTGGCAGTGGGACTGCAGGAGCAGGAGGGACTGACCCATGTAACAATGCTTCAAGGAGCCACGATCACCCGTAGCTGCCTATGAGCATCGTTCGTTGGTTTTAACAGAGCACTGCTCTGCTGACTTGAAATGACTTATGGCAGCGCAACATCTGGCACTTAAGGCATCGACTTCCCGTCCTCTTCCCCTCCACAGTATAAAGTGAAACAATCTCGATTACCTGTAGCTGTATCATTCTTCAGATACTGAGCTCAGGTTGATTAACACCACACTGCCTTCTGCACCCAGCCGCCCATCGTGTCAGGTTTTCTGCATTTACTCAACCACTTGCAGATTTATTTTTTTTAAAAAGAAAACTGCAACACAATAATACAGCTACACTGAGAACTGCTCCATAGCCAGTGCTGTGGCACACTGAAACTCACAGCCTGGATGCTGGTTTTTACCATATAAGCAGCTAAATAAGCAGGAAGCAGCAGCCACAAAATTCGGCAAGGGCAGACAAGCACTGTCTAGTGACAAAATGCTGTGGGTTAGGGATTCTTAGAGCAAAATTACCCCAAATACAGCATGAGTTATGTTTAAAGAGGTGTGACAAGACCGGTGAAGGACAGAAACATGAAATCAAACTAGATGAAGAGGAGCCCAATTTATTTACACAGCAGTGGGTGCGAAAACCCCCTGGGCTGCCGGCACACCCAGTGCGTTCCCTGCAAAAGGGCTCTCAGGAGCAGGGGAAAGCTCCTTCTGGAAGGACACACGAAGTTATGGGCACAGAAGGACACACGAAGTTAGGGCACTGCAGAACCCCTCAGCAGTCACCACAAACAGTATGAACATTCATGGTCCAGCTTTCAGTGCACATGGGAATTCAGTTCAAACGCAAAGGACCACTCCGAGGAGGGCGCTGGGTCACACCAGATCAAATCTGGACCCCGTTATCTGCAGCAGCACATCACTGCTGCGTGCCGCCGGCTTCATGGTTTGCACGAGATGAACCGATGCTGCCGATCTCATCCTGGGAAGCCAGGAAACCACAGCACGAACGAGCAGCTCTGCGCACCCAGAGCTGCTGGAGCCCGGTGTTGGCTCAGGCTGCCGGCGCTGGATTCCTGTGAGGGATCCCATAGACGGAAGATGTTTCCACCGTTGGGGAGTTTACGTCTTTCCCGCATAAACTCTTTTATCTATTTCCCATAAAGTCTCCTCATCTGCTTCCTCCATTACCCACTGCAGGTCCCTGCATTGCCAACTCGCTGCCAAAGCCTCCCGAGATGGAGAATTGTTATTAAATCAGAGAGACAAACACGGAAAGTGAAACCCCACAGGTCTCATTTCCTGTGCTGAACACCTCCGTAAATACCACCCCAGTGTCCAGATTTCACACATGATTAGTAGCAAACAGTGGGAAAAACTGCGTTTGGGACCAGGAAGGCCAGCACAGCGTATTCCACAGCAACATTTGCACTGGGGATAGAAACCGGCATGGGAAGATGCTGGTGGGTGACAGGGGGTGTTCAAAAGATGCTACAGCAATTGAGGACCCACACACTGCAGAGATGGAGGAGATGGGATTCTGTACATCTAACCCCAGGAAGGTATGTCCCACTTATAATGAGGGAACAGCCTGTGAACCAGGCTAATAAAAACCTTCCTGGCCAGTTTTAAAGAACCAAATTGGGCCTGTTATTTCAATACAGAAATATTAAAACCTTTTAACATTAGTCACAACCTCACTGCTGGCAACCAGTTAGTCATTTCAGATGCTTATTTGAAAAATGATTTCATTTAATCACTCTCAGGTTATTGCTCATTGCACAAGATGAGCAGGAACTGCGCTTCACTCATTTGTTTCCCATTAAGAAAGAGGACGGTTTTGATGTAAAGCTCCTGTTTCATTTTGCAGGCACAAACTGCTCAGAACTCATCTTTGATGCCTAAAACCCAAGCAGCTTTTAAGGCACCAGTTTGAAGTTCAGAGCAGTCCCATTAGGGATGAGACTGCTGGGCTTTTTAAACAGCCCCAGGGGAGCAGCTGTGTGTGCAGGGCACAGCTGAAAGCCGCCTCCTCCAAACCCCATCCCCGCAGAGCAGCGGGGCCCAGCCTGCAGGCAGGGGTGGGAGACAGGGGTCACAGCTCCACAGCTGCATCCATGGTCTCCAGGTAATAAAGATCATGGGCTGCCCACCCACACGAATTCGGGGACAGGGGCTCCTGTCACAGGGCACCGTTTCTACAGAAATGCATACATTGATTCAAGTGACAATAATTCAACAGCCAGGCAGGCTCCTGGGAGCAAGCTGGGGACTCCTGAGCCCCAGGTGTTGGGTCATCACTTCCCTGGGTCTCAGAGGTGGGGATGGCTCTTCCCCCCCCCACAGCAGTGTTTTGACGTGTGTTTGCAATGCCTGAGGAAGCAAGTCCTGGAAGGCATTTACACAGGAAAGGAACTGCCCCATCTTAAGGCAGGGCAGCATCTCTCACCTTGCGAGATTCAAAACTGCCACAAACCCAGGGCCTCCTTTGAGGAATTTTTGGGACAGAAAAAACATTGGACTACGTCTTCAAAACCCCATCCTCCCTGGACAGCTCTGAGGAAAGGAGGACAGGGGCCATCCCTAAGTAGCAGGCAAACTGGAGAAGGCAAAAGTCCATTTGCACTCACTGGGACTCAGCCAGGACCATCACTACCAGCTATCGGTACTTTGGCTGGCGAAGTGAGAGCTCCCCTGCTTGGGAAGACCTCTCCCAGGACAGGTTCAACTGCAGCAGCATCGCTATAAACCTGCTTCCACTCTGCCCTGTACCACAGCGTATCCCTGTTGTTCCAGTTGCACCAGACCTCAGGACACGTAACTCAGCTCTCTGCCCCTTTTGGCCAAAAACTGCCTTGAATTCTTAAACCCAAAAGTTATAAAATACAACTTCTTCTTACCTGTTCTGCGCCCACCATGCTAATGGGTTTGCACTTGAAGAGGTGGTTAATGAACTTGGGAATGAAGGAGCTGCAGAGACAGAAAATGACACAAGTACATGTGAGTATGTGGAATCACGCAGTCTTCTGTGCTAACAAAGCATGAAAACCACACCAGGACGGCTTTCCACAAAGACACTGTTAGTGCCTGGTTCTCGAGCTGACTCCAGCCACATTTACATACTCTATGTAAATAAACTGCTATAAGCTATATATGAAGTATTACAGCAGAAGGTCAAGAACAAGCAAATGAACTATGGTACATAACAGAAACAGCAACACGCCAGCATTAGTACGGCTATTCACGGAGTGGAAGTACCTTGACTGCATCCAGAACTTACATTTTCCTGCATACCGGTAATTCCATACCGTGCACATTACACACTGAACTTGAGGTCCAGCCAACGCTGGAGGTCTGCTGGGCCCTGGACACTCACACACAAAGGCCTTTCCAGAAAGCTTCTGGCCAACACAATCAAGACAAGAAAAAGTTTCGTGAAAAGGAAAACACCATGACCCTGTTTTAGTAACACAGACTTCAGTCAGAAAAACGACTATGGTACATATACTCAACTGGGGAGAATTTAGCAAGGATGGAAGCCCAATATTCATCACCTTAACAACATACTCCAGAGCATAAGCTTTGGTTTTAGCCTTTTGCTTCTTGATTTTAGGCTCTGCAGTACTTCCATCAGTGAAGTAGACGCTCTCATCTAGCAGAGGGGCTGGCTGAGCATCTGCAAGACATCTCCTACTCCACCAAGGTAGAGCACCAGGAAAACTCAAGGGTTGAATGCAAGGAGAGGGGTCAGTGAGAGCAAAACCAACTCCATCCATCAGGACCCCACCACTCATCCTCTTGTCTTCCTTTTGCTGCCTTGCTTTTTAATGTACTCTGCTTCTTTCACACGGTCTTCTCTGGCCGAACGCCTACAAGGCTCACGTGTCCAGGACCTTGTCCATGACCTGGTGGCAGGTCTTCAGTTTTGATGGCTGTGTCCTAAGTTCACGTTAGTCAGTCTGCTTTGAATGAGGCGCCGTTTATGGTGATGATCTAAATTCAGTGCGGTTTCCCCTGTGCATCTGTCAAGCTATTTGTTTCCTCCCCACGAAGCAGAGTGTGGACAGCATCTTGTTTGTCCTACCACCTGTTTCCCAAGCCAGGACATTAATTTTTTGCCCTTTCTCATGGAAGACTGACAAAAGCGTAGCTCAGGCACAGAGCATGCCAAGCTGCTGAGCAAACTGAAAGAAATGGCTCAAGGAAGAGTCCTTCTAAGCAAAGGCTCCTTCCCTGCCTCTTCCCTCAGACGCAGCCACGGCCTCTCTCAGTGAATCATCTTTTCCTGGAGAGGTGTTAAGGAGAACAATTTCAAACTACTGTTGAAAACCAGCTACTGGGCTGCCCCAAACAGCTTTGAATTTGGCCACCAGAGAAACAACCTTGGCAACAAAATACAAGTAAGAGGAGGAAAACAAGCCCTGGCTCCTCTCACACGAAAGTATTACAGCAGAGATGTGACTTATCTGGTATATAAGCCCGTTTTTCAGGTGTATAACTAATTCCCAGAGGGCAATTAGGAAGTGCAAAGCACAGCTGGAGCTTAGGTGATCCTACAAAATGATCGATCTGCTCTGGAGGCAGCAGCTTGCTCCAAGCGGAAGAGCACGAGAGCATCATTGTACCTTTGATCTTGCATGTAGGTCCAAGTCTCCCCCCCTCTGCAAGGTCAGGCGTGGAGCTAACGCTCGCAACGTGTATGGGAAACAGGGAGAGCCTTGCTTTCTGCAGAACGGCAGATAGCAGCCAAAGGACCTCCTCCCCTGTTCTTTTTAATCTTCTTTTCTATATAACCACATGGTCTCCCATAGACAGCATTCTGCCTTGCGTGAAACAATTCCCAGGCCCCTTAGGATGGCCACCCACAATCAATGCAGAAGGCTAAAGCGACCTCCTATCTCCACATGCCTCTTATTTCACGCTGCCTTATTGGAAACAGCTTCTCAGCTCCAGCAGGACAGACAAGACAACCCGTAAGATCCAAGGGCTGCTCTGGTATTATTTTCCTTTTATTTGACTAGCAGAAACCATCAGGAGCAATTGCACTTAACTGAAAAATTCACTTGAGTCCCTTGCCTAGGCTGGACTCGCTGCTTGGCTCCCTGAGCACACAGCAGGCGATCCTGACACGAATCATACGTGCGCGTTCAACAGCAACGCTCCGCACGCATTTGTACTGCAAATGCCTTGACTCCCTGCACATGCACAGAGCTAGACTGGATGCCAGAATTCATTTACAGCTTCAGCTATAAAACTGAGTCCAGCAAACCTTCCACAGAAGCAGACAAGTCCCCAGTGTAAGAATAAAGCAGTGCAAGACGGATTAGGAACGTAAAGCACAGAAACCACAGCATCTGAGAGGCTCCCATCCAACGGGAGTGGCTCTGCCAAAGCCTGTGTTTTTCTAATCCCCTGCGCTGGTGATGCATCACACACAGTGCCTCGCTAGGCAAGGCAGACAGAGATGCAACCCCAGTCTGTCTGTCCGACAAGAGATGAGTTACCACAGGACATCACTCAAAGCATCCTGGTGTCCCCGAGTCACTGCAGCAGAGAAGGGATTTGCTTTACACCACCCTTCGAGCTGGTGCCCAGCCCCAGCCTTGCAGGCTCACCCAGGCTGAGCTCAGCTGCTGCTTCGAAACCTCCAGGAATCTCCTCATCACCATCTTCCTGCACCTTCCACTGAACCCTGCTTGCTAACAGCATGATGCAGAGGCCAGAGCAAATGGGCAGACGCCTGCTGCGGTTACCCCCCGCGCTCGGCCGATCGTGACGGACAAGGTGCTTTCTGGCGAGGGGCAGAGCTGTTTGTTTTTCCTGTCTCTCGGTTCTAATCTCTTCCTCATTGAGGTCAGGTCACAGACTTCCCAAGCACATCCCAGCGTAGCAGCCACAGCCTCACCGCTCTGGTTTTTTATTTCAAAGGATAAAGACCAAGAACAGAGCCCCTCACCCTGCCTGCGAGAGCCTCCTGGGAAGCCGGCTGCCTCTCACTGTTTCAAGGGAGCGAAGGTTGCATACTGGTCAAAACAAAGCAAAAATGACAAATTAGGTTAGAGGATTGATGCCATTTCTGATGGCCATTTTTCTTCTTCCAGACTTGGCTCAGATGCTTCAGTTTTAAATTTAGTGACTTTAGATGCCTTCTCCCCTGTGGTCCTGTAACTCAACACTTGTGCTTTATCCAATCCATTAGAGCTGAGAAGTGGCTGGCAGTTCAAAAAGATCCAGGCATTAACATACGGAGCAGCACAATGCCTGTTAAAAGGATTTTCAGTGTTGTGGAGCACACAAAAGGCCAGGTATTTATATGGGGCAGGCCCCCATATTCCATGAGAATTCAGAGCTTCAAAAATACAAATGTTTGTGTGCATTAAAATGCCGTAAGCAATTTAAGTAGGTCAGTCCACCCTCACCACTGGGCTAGTTCTCCTTAAAACCAAGTTGTACAGAAGGACTCTAAATATCACCTGGCAAAAACAATTTTCAGGAATCAGATTTTTACTTCTAGACCTAATCCACGGCACAGTGAATTCAGGACTGTGTTCAAGTTTACTGTGCTGGAGATCAGAGCTGTCGTTGTGCTAAAAAAGGTTTTGAAGTGGAGCGGTAGTTTTGCAGGTTTCTGTGCTCTTCTGTGGAACAAGCTGTGATGAAGGCACTCAGCTCAGATGTGAACTTCTCCAAAACGAGAAAGCTGGTTATTTCATCCGGAGTTTACTTGGTATGCGCTTAGCAATAAAGTTAAAAGGCAGGCAACTAAGTTGAGGTATTAAGAGAGTGCTGTGAACAGCTGAGTAAATGAGTTTTTTATTTATCACCACGTTAGCGACATAAAATTCAAGTGTAACCACATAGAAGGCTTAAGTGCAATAAATTTTCACTGAGACAGCATTTCAAACAGTGGTTATGGGCAACGTCATAATATGATTTATCAGTAACTGCTCGTTAATGCAAACTAATGAGTACCCCGAGACAGAAAGGGGGAATGAAATTCCCGGGCCAGCCTCCCTGCTGCGAAAGCAACGCTCCTCAGCAGAGCCTGCTGCATCCTCCCTGCTGCAGCTCCGGTCGCAAACCCACACAGTAACTGCCCGGCCGTACAGTTTATTTCAGGATGATTAGCTTATTGCAGATGAATGAAACGTTAAGGTATTTTAGAGTGACACATGATCTGTGTGGTACTGCTCCCAAGTCTACCAGCACAGTCACATGCAACACCAAAAGCAGCAGCCTCAATTGGCAGAGCCCGCCTGAGGGTTTTTCTTGGGGCATTGGCATGCAAAGCTCAGCTGGCCACAGGCAAGCACAGAAGAGTTCCAAGTATCTTCCCAAACAACTGAAGTTTCGTTTCAGATGCATAGCTTCAAATTCTGGATGCCCAAGAGGTGCTGGAGAGCTGCACCCTCAGCTCTGAATCCAGAGGCGAAGGGAATTTCTGTCTCACCCTCCAGTTCTTCCATGACAGTGGTAATATCCCTCAAAGTCTGAATGCGTATTTCCCCTTCCTTACTGAACTATTTTTGCACAGCTTTTAGACCATGAAGGTAGAATATACTCATCACACACAGCCTCCTTGCAGGGCTACAGCTATTATAGAAGTTATTTGGAGGCAAATGATGCACCAGATTCCTCAGCACCTGGAAGCAACACAGCCTCTGGAAAGAAAGGAGGTTCCCATAGCAGAAGTCGTGTCTGAATTCAGACATTCAGAGCCTTTTTAAGATGCCCAACTCAAAACCTTCTCTACTTGGCAAGCAGTGGACAGTGATCACCACAGTATTTTATGGGATGGTTTAGGCACATGAAAAGGAACTAATCAATACAAATGTCTGAGAAAATCTGCCTCAGC